AGCACAAGCACATGTAACAACCATGTCTTTTTGGCGGGTGTCTCTTAGCCACTTTGACCAGTTTCGGAGAAACATCATGGCTTCCTGGATGCATCTTCGACGCCATTTTTGTCCACGTTGGGAGCCATGACGCAGCATGGTAGTATTAGTGTGAATGGGGCAACTTTGGGATGTCTTGGGCCAGGTGGGAGCCATCGTCAGCCCAAGCGGACCCCGTGACACCTTGACCTGGGAGGGGTACACCTCCAAAGGACAGACACATGGTTTGGCAGTGTCGAGCCGAGTCCAGAAGCCTCATGCCGTTTGGCGCGCGTGCGGGGACATTGTAAACGAGTTGTGTAGACCGAAGCGAAGTGTGTTTGCCAATGTGGAGAAAGACGAACGTATCACGGGCCTGCCGCAGAGACACAGGGCGCATCACTTTTATGACATTCAAACCGAGCTAGCCTATGAAACCACCTACGCTCTGAGGGTTGGTGGGATGAGTCGTACCCTGTAGCTGGCAGCAGGCAGCCGTTGCACATGTTGGCAGTACCGCTTCGGGCGGCTAGCCACCGCAGTGACGCCATTGAACACCAGCCAGTAGTCAGTACGTGCTGTGACCGCAGGTACGTGCGGTGACCGCAGGGTGCCGCGGTTACTGCAGGGTCTACGCAGCGTCGTTACTTCTCAAGTGATTTGTGTTTTTTTTTGGAGGGGGGGCAGCACTGATTCGAACCGACATTCCTATGCCAAGCTCGCGCGCTGTACCAAGGGAGGTGAGAATTAGGCATTGCTGACTCGGAGGCGGAGAGCTATCGCAGGCTGCATTGGCGCACTGACAATTCGTTTAGTCTGCGACGTATGAGGTAAACAGTTCGCTCCTCTGTGGCATCGCGCTTTGTCTGCATCTCTGTCTACGGTATATTTTAGTGATCTCTCTTTCCTTCCCTCCCCTCATCCCATTTTCCCTTCCCCTCCCGTCCTTTCCTCTCGTGCGATCTGTAACATGCCCCTCTTGCGCTATGTTTGTTTGTTTTCTTTCCGTCTCTCTCTCTCTCTCTGCCCCTCTCTCTTTTGCTGTGTTTCTCTCTCCCTCTCTCTTGTCCCTCTCATACGGATGGGGTTCGTACCTCCCCCTCTCCATTTTTCCCGGGGGTCTTCGTACCGGGCGCACTGGCGGACCCCGCCGCCCTGTGGTGGTGTGGGGGGGGCTTCTGTGGGAGGGGGGGGGCTCCTGTAGGGTGGGGGGTGATGCGTGGAAGTGGGGGGGAGGTCTATAGGGCGTGTGCGTGGGATAGGAGGGATGACTAGATGGATGAATGAAAGTATGAATGGAAGGACAGATCGACGGACGGATATGAGATAGATGGATCAAAAGAGATGGCGCGAGGTGCTCGTACGGAGCAAGAGGGATGGAGGACCTGAGAAGGACGAGATGGAGGAGAAGGAGGAGGGTGGGAGAATGGGGAAGGGGAGGAGAAGGAGGAGGTGGAGGAGGCTTCCGGGAGCCTCCAGAGGTCTCTGGATGTCGCCGCTGCCGACGCCGCCGCTGCACGCTCGCACGCGCTCCCCGGGCGCTCCCCCGCGCCCTGTGCGTTGGAACCTTCCCAGGGGGTTCGCACGGGTCAGCACCAGGGGTGTGTCGCGTTGGGGGGCTTCGTACTGGGGCACGCTAGCCTCTGGGGGGGTATCGTGCACCCCAGGAAGTTTCGTACCTGCCCGCGCCGGCGGTGCGGCCTCCTGCCTTCTGGCCCGCTCCACTTGCCTCGCGCTCTCGCCGCCGGTTGCCGTCCGCCCACCCCCCCGCCCCCCAGTGCTATTCGACGTTCGCTACCGAGACCGTCTGGCGGCCGCAGCCATGGGGTCCTCTTTGGGCTCCTTTTTAGGGCCTCCTGGGGCAGAAATCTCAAATGGTCGGTACGGGCTCTCCCTATTGGGTCCCATTTCTAGCCGTCTTGGGGCTCTCTTCTGGGGTCGTGTGGGTCCATCACAGGCTGTCTTGGGGCCGTCATGTGCTGTCTGGGGGCCATCATAGGTTGTCTTCTGGCTTCCGTATTCTTTTGTTAGGACCACCGTTGGCTGTCGTGTGGCCATCGTAGGCTGTATTGGGGCCAAAGCAGGCTGCCTTGGGGCCACCCTGGGCTGTCTTGGGGCCACCATCGGCTGCCTTGGGGCCAACATAGGCTGTCATGTCGCCACCATCGTCTGTCTTGGGGCCATCATAGGCTCTCTTAGGGCCTTCATAGGCTGTCTCGGGGCCGCTCCATCCTCCCTCCCCCCTCCTCCTTGACAACCCACCCTCCTCTTTCTCCTCTGCTCCACCCTCCACTCCGCCCTCACCATTTTCTTTGCGTTCCGCCTCCTGCTACTCCTTCTCCTCCTCCTCCTCCTCCTCCTCCTCCTCCTCCTCCTCCTCCCCTCCTCCTCCTTTTCCTCCTCCTCCTTTTCCTCCTCCTCCTCCTCCTCTTCCTTTTCCTCCTCCTCTTCCTACTCCTCCTCCTCTGCCTCTTCCTCCTCTGTTCCTCCTTTTCCCCCCCCCCTCTTCCTCCCCCCCCTCCTGCCTCCTCCTCCTCCTGATCCTCCTCCTTCTCCTCCTCCTCCTCCTCCTGTTTCTCCTCCTCCTCCTCCTCCTCCTCCTCCTCCTCCTCCTCCTCCCCGTCTTCCTCCTGCTCCTCCTTCTCCCCCTCCTTTGCCGGAGTCTCGCACTTGCGTCTTTTCGCCGTGCGCTGACAGGTGCAGCGGTTGGGGAGTCGGGCTGAGCCCCAAGCGCGGGCAACCGTACGCTGTCGGCGGCCCTGCTTGGTCCACCCCACTCCATGCGGTCAGGCCGAGTCGCCCGTCTAGCTGTCAACCATACGAAGGGTTCCAGCAGAGGGCTTCCGCCTGGTCGCCGCAGGGTTGCTTGCGCCGTCCTCCGCTGGGCCCGCTGCCCCTGCAGAAAGGGGACCACGCCCGAGGTCTCCGCATGCCGCCCCAGTGGGAGGGACGCCAGCCAGCCAGCCTCCTCCTCCTCCTCCTCTTCCTCCTCCACCCGCCCTCGTCCTCCTCCTCCTCCTCCTCCTCCTCCTCCTCCTCCTCCTCCTCCTCCCCCACAATTGCACAATATGAACTCCACATCCCCAAGACGAAAGTTTTTCCTCTTGGACCCGGAACGACGGTTTGAAGTCTTCAGCATACGCGTATGAGATAGAAGCCGTCGGATTCCATGAATGTCGAACGGATCCACTTGTGGTTTTTGTTTTTGTCTCGGTGGATCCGATTTCCGTCCGCGCGGATCCGATTCCGGATTTTCTGGATCCGCGTCCGGCCTTATTTCTTTACAGTTGGTTCGATTTCTACCACGTTAAAAAATTGAGAATATTAAATATCAGCGGGGAACCGTATGACATCGGATCCGCGGACCCCGGAACCCGCCCGTGTTAAGATTCTACGTGTGAAGGGGGTTCGGTCATCAATGTTCCAGGATGGGTCCTGTGCTGTCTCGCGCGCTCCCATCCACTTTCCGCGCGAAGGGGCCCCATTCGACATGAATGCGTATCCCTCCCTTTGGACGATTTGCGCGCAACTCGTCCAGCAACCGTCCGTTCGGCGGCGCCGGTGTAATTCGTCGAAATCAGCATCGCCGTTCTCACCTCTACAGGAAAATCTTTCGTCCTGCGTGAATATTATCTTCTCTCCCCTGAGGAAGTCCGGAAGTTATCGGACCCCCCTCCCCGCGTATTTTTTTACACGGGATTCTCGGGACATCTGTTTTTCATGTTTTTTGGAAGCAGATGTTGGCTCCCGCTGAAACGCTGGCCCCAGCGCATCTGGCAATTCCAAATCATGCTCCCACTGCAGCGCGGGCGTTTTCGGCCCTTTCCAGATAAGCCCCAAAATCTATAAATTGTCCCTCAGAAAAAAGAAAAAGAAACAACGGAATAAATAACAAACGGCAGTGATTCCTATTCGGTGTCGATTCGTTGATTTGTTGGGCCGCAGAAGCCCCCCTTCCACTTTGGGGCGGCGTCGCTTTGAGGAAGCATCAAGCGGGACCCCCGCTTCTGCTTTGAAAAGGCGATATTGGAAGCAAAGCCAGCGGTTGGTCTCCATCAGCCCCGCGTTGTGTGGAGATTCTCGGGGGAGCCTAAGGAGCTACACATGGAGCCACGACTCCAGATTGGCCCATACCTCTCGAAGACGATCCGCTTACCCTCCCAGGAACCCGGCGCCATGCCATGACATGTTGTGCGGTGTTGCGGTCTTCTTTGTTGTGTGATGCCATGCTTTGCGTTGCAATGTCTTGTGTTGCAAAGCTTCAGTGCGCAATGCCACGCCATACTATGGCATGCTACACTTTGCCGTGTTCGTCTACGCCTTGCCAGGCCGTGCTCTACCATGCGTCGTGTACCATGTCGCGATCATTGCCTTGCTCGGCATCTGACTGCGCGAGTAGAGAGAATACATACGTCATGGAAAGGGATGGGAGTAGGGGTAGGTCGTCAGATATGAGCGTACTTAGCTTGTGCTTCTTCTCATCACCAGCAGCGCCAGAATCATCACCATCATCATCATCATTATCATCATCATCATCATCATCATCATCATCATCATCATCATCCGTACGCGCATGGATCTTTTGGCCCCTCTGGACGCGTGGATCGTCGTCACCATCATCACCCACATCATCGTCACCATCGTCATCATCATCCTCGTCATCAGCATCACCATCATCAGCACACTCATCATTAGCATCATCATCGTCATCATCAGCATGAGGAACATCCCGCTAGCGGCGCGGACTTTTACGTCGTCGTCACGGCCTTCATTGATATCGAGAAATGCTACGACCGCCTCCGCTGGATGATCATCGTCCGGCGAGGGCACACCAATTCCTCATGGTCATTGTTCGCTCCGCCTTCGCCATGTATTTCGCTCCCCGCCGGCTCCAATAGAGCTCGGTTCATTCCAGGGCGGTCCAAGCTTCCTGCGGCGTCCTCCCAGGATGCGCACTGGCCAGCGCGCTGCTGCAGCTAGCGATGCTCACGCCCATGGACGAACTGATGCTCCTGACCGCCTACCAACCGCGGACGTTGGCCATCTATGCTGGCGACCTGACGGTGCAGATCTGCGCGGCCCTGCGGGTCATCATGGAGCGGGCGACAGACTTCCTGAAGCGGCTCGCCCTCGTCCTGCAGGAGGATTTGGAGCTGCCCACTGCGCGGCGCAAGGCCCGCGCGAGGTCGCTCGCCGCCTGCGGCGCCACGGTTTCCGAGCATGCCAGGCGTTTGAGGCCTTGGGCGTTGAGGCCTGCCCTGGTCGACCGCTCCGCTTGTTCTCGCTGCGCCAGCGGGCAAGGCGGGTCCGCGCCAGGGTGCGGCGTTTCGGACACTTCGTGGCCTCGGCGCACAGCTTGGTCGTTTGACGCGCGCTTCACTTTTTGCACCTTTCCAGTACGGTGTGCCTACCACGGGGGCTCCGCCGACATACTGGTCACCATGATGCGGCGCGTGCTCCGGCAGCAGTGGGGCCGGCTGGCCGCGGGTTGTTGGACTTGGCTGGCGGCCTGCTTCGAACCAGGGGCCCGCACCGAACCGCAGCTTGCGGCGTGGACGCAGACCCTATTCAACTGGCCGCTAATGGCCGTGGATCCGAGAGTGGTCAAGTCGGACATGCAGCGAGCGTGGCAGAGCCAGGCCCCCTCTGCACTTCTGGCCCCCAGCCAGTGGCGCAGGGTCATGGGCCTTGCCAGGGCTGATTGTGTCGCGTCATCCGCCTCCGCCTGGGGCACGGACGAGGGCGTCGTGTTGGACCTACGCGCTGCGGCCCCTTCCACAGTCCAGCAGCTGGCGAGGCAGTCCGCCGTGCGCGCCATGTGGCGGCGCTGGGCTACCACGCCCGACTCCGCGCCCGAGCTGGGCCCCGTGCGCTGGCAGCCGTAGGGCTACTGGCTGGAGCCGCTGGCGGCGCTGCTGCACAGTCCCACCGCCCGCTGGAGGCTCACAGAATCTGGCGTCGGCGCCGTGCGGTCTCTCATCGCGGGTGCCACCTGGTCCCAGGCTAGGTTGCACAGGTACGGCTACGGTGCTGACGGGTTGCGTGGACGATGCTGGGCCGCGCCTGGCACATCCGTGCGCCGATACTGGCAGCGGCGCGAGTCGTGCCAGCCCGAGCGGGCGTTAGCCTTGGACGTGGCCCTGCTCGACGGACTGCCACACACCATGCGGAACGACCCACGCTTGGCGCGCCTGCTGGTTCCGCTGTCCTCGCTACCCGTTTTCCCTCCCCGCGACGACAGCGGCCGCTGGCACGCGCTGCTGCCCGCCCCGGTTTTTTTTGTCACAGGCCTCAACTACACCGACGGCTATGGCTCGAAGCGTCGGAGCCGCCCGCAGGATGCGAGAACGGGCTGGGGCTTCGTCGTCTCCGAGAACTTCTGGGCCTTCAGCGGCTAGTATGGCGCGCTGCCTGGACCGGTCTGGTCTTCGCCCAGGGCCAAACTCTGGGCGGTCTTTCAGGTTCTGCCCCAGGCGCTAGAATCGCGATCTGCGGGTGCAGCTCTGGGCCAAGTCGAATGACCATGGCGACCTCTTCTCGCACGTGGCGTCGTTCACGTCCGTGGGCACCAGAGCGGTAACGACCAATATCGGCATGGCAGCGACTGGGCGGCCGCGCTTGCTCGCTTGGGATTGGGGCTCCATTGCTTCACGGACCAGCAGAAGGTGGAGTCCAAACTCCTTCTTCGACACCTTCGTCAGACGGCCTGCTGGGTGGCAGCGGCGCACGACAGCCTGAAATCGGGGGCCTTGTCGCCGGATCGCGACCCGCGGCTGCCGCATGCACGAAGGCGGCGGACGCGGCGGCAGGGGCGCCGCTGGGGTCCGCCATGCGTGAGGGCAGCCTCTGCTCATGCCTCGTTGTTCGCTGCCTCGTGGTGGCGTTGCGCACGGCGCGGCAGCAAGTCGCCCGCACGCTGGCTGGTCGCGCGCGCATGCTCCGCCAGACGCGCAGACGGAGGGAACTCCAGGCGCGGGCCCAGGCGGCTCAGGGTGATGTGGTCGAGCGGACCTTTGAGTTTCCTCCTCCTCCCCCTCCGCGCTCTGCGGCCGCCCCAGCAGCCCCAGGAGCGGCCCAAAAACACCCAGCGGTCCCTGGGGGTTCCCCGCGGCGGAAACTGGCCCCAGTGTTTGGGGCCCGCGGGGAGGGCCTCCCGCGGCGTCTCAGGATGCCTGCCAGAATTGCGAGCCAGTGCTCGGCGGCCCCAGGCGCGGGGAAGGGTGCCCCAGTCGGTTCTTCCCCGTCCCAAGCTGCCCAGGGGCCTCCTCGCAAACGAGTGCGTTTCGCCGAGGACATTGAGCCTTCGGAGTGCAGTCCGGCCACGTCCACCGCCCCCAGGCGATGGTGGTCGCCGCAGCGCTGATGACTGGAGCGGCGCTGACGGCTTCTGTGCCTTCCTCGTCTTCCCCAGCCATCGGCTGGATCCGCTTCGGGAGCTCTGGCGGCGGATCCTGGCTTGGGTGGGGCCGGCTCGGATTTCCCTGGAGCCCCCGCGCCGCCACGCGGTCAGAGGCTGCCGGCCTCTGCTCCTTCAGTTCATGTCATGCGGCCTCGTGCTTCTGCGTCTTCGGGGTTGGCGGGGTCGCACCCCGAAGCTTTCGCGCTGGAGGCCCCTGTGTGGGGTTCGGCTGGATTGCCACCGCCTGCGGTTGGCGGGTCCCCACTCCCTTTTGATTTGTAGAGGGGCAACTGCTGAATTAAATCAGATTGCGCACGGCGTCTGACCCGTATGGCCTGAACGAGACAGATGTTGCAAATGAGGGTTTTGGAAAAAGAGGGGGATACATATGGGTGTATAGATGCGTGTGTAAGATGTGCACGCGCAGGATTATACACGAATCTCCACCTATGTATGTATATACAATGATGTCTATTGCATATATCTATATATATAACTATATAACTATATATATAGCAGATATACATGTAAACACGCACGCGAGTAACACATCACGCCCATACTATGTGTTATCGTTATCACTCTTCTTTCTACCCTTTTTTTTGCTGTATTGCCCTTTCTGTCCTTCTCTTCCCATAAATCCGATAGGGTCTATCCCGTTGTCCCCCTTTCCCTGTTTCCATATCCCTCTGTCTTTCTCTCTTGGTGTCAGTCTCTCGCCATTCGTTTCTCAGTCTCGTCTTGCCACTGATTATGCTATGCTCACGCTCTTTCGCTTCAGCCCGCCATCATGAATTCTTCTCATCCGTGTTCACGAACAACCTCTCGGGCTCCAGGGCATAGTTTCACTTGGCATGCGCGCAGCGGCGCGCGGGTCGCCGATGGCGCTGTAGGGAACGGGGTGGCGGCATTCTCGGAGGAGAGATGCTGTCGCCCCAGGAGCTCGACACGCTCATGCACCTGCTCAAGGCACCGCGCGGCCGCGCAGGGGATAGGCTTCGCGGATAGCATCAGCAGTTGGATACTGCTTCACGGTCTGAAGATGAGGCCGGTGAGGACAAAGACGTCGACGCTGTTGCTGTCGTCGTGCGCAGCGTTTTTTTGTTTAGGATCCGTATTTCTGACGAGGTGCTTGATGGGCAGGCGGGACATAGAAGTCACATGCAGCGTGACGATATTTTGTGGAGCACATTGGTGGTGACCACCTTACCTGTCCCACCCCTTCCACCATCCCGCCCCTCCTCCTCTCCCCCCCCCTCCTGCGAAAGATCAATTGTCGAAAAGATTCGCTGTCCCATGAGGGTACCGAGGCGACCGCCAAATGCGTCAATCATCGTTCGGTTGCTGCTCCGTTGTCTTGTTCGAGACACGGAGCGTTGTCTAACTCGCAGCACCATCCCCTTTGACTCTGCAGCGCGGTGGTATTTAGTTTCGCCACTTCTGCGAGAGGTGGAGAAGGCAATGGGGAGTGAGGTCCGAGAAACGGAGGGGGCAGACGA